GAGTGCCTCTAAGATGAGATTTCCTCAGCTTGTATACACAAAACCGATAAATGAAGTCAAAGAAAAATCAATTTTTTTTAGCCAAGTAAAAATTATGCAGAAATCAGTCATCTATATTATCAACCTGTGTATGGAGTTATGTAAGCATGTGCAAAATAAGAGTTATGGAAGTCTATTTCTTGCTTTGATTTTGTAAAATGATTATGTAAACTTGAGAGATTTTAAGCATTCATATTGAAGGAATGTAAAATATTTGGATGGATTTCCTTTGAAGCACAATACTGACTTTGCAATCGAAACATGATTGGATGAGGGCAAAAAGCTATCAAGAAGCAGTAGTATCATTATGATGTTTCATCATATAGAGCTAATTTCTTGAGTTTTCAAATACATAAAACTTGATCAACATTACTCTTCACATTATGACTCAAGACATAAATGTCACTAGTACGATGCATTCTTATTTGGTAGAAAATTAAAAAAATTTAGGGAAGAAAAAGACAAATCACCCCTTTTGTGGGAAGGGTGACATTCATATGTCAAGTAACAAGAAATTCTTACTAAAAGAAACAAAACGTGTGCCTAGAACTGACACTAGTGCAAAATCAAACCTTTTTACAGCGACGATAAAATGCTTTCTATAACGGTTTTATAACTATGATAGATAAAGGTCGACGTAAAAAATCTGAAATATACCTTAGCAGCACGTCTGGAACAGATGCTCGGGGGAATGCCAAAAGTTTGGCGTCCACTCCCAATGGGCACGTCTTCTTTATTCTCAGGGGTTGTTCAAGTTATCTGAATCAAGTATCAACTTACTCTGGATTTTTGCCATCTTTCAACATTTCTGCACAACACACGCCACTCACACTTGGTTATTTTAAACAGTATTAACTTAATATATGATGTGGTAAAACATATAAAATGAGGTAAAATTTTCAGCTTATAACTTCCGGCACAAATCAATGGAAATTAAAAAAAAAAATTAATAGAAAAGTCTACATACGGTGAATATTTTTTGTTACTGCGAGACAAAAGAGAAGTCACACTCCTATTAACATAGGAATTGGAAGTGGAATGAAGAGTATGATCTATGAAAATTGATCTGTATGTTCCATACAAAAATAAAAAATGATTCCTAATGAATTTTGTTTCTTATTCGCGAATTTTATCTCTTTTGAAAGGGTTCAATTAATAAAAAATAAAAATTAAATTCTGAATTTTTGTCTAATATTTCAATAGTTGAAATTATGAAGTGAAAACACGTGTATAAACTTATGAGAGCATTTTATAGATGGATATGTATATGTCATGAGATGGGTATGTGGCAGCTTGATATAGCCGTGGTTTTGAAGACAAATGGACACAATCATTATTACTATTTGAAACCTCTCTACTAAGCATCAAAATTTGGTGAAAGTTACAATAAAAGACTCAAAGAATACAAAATTTATTTTAAAATTATAACTTTAAAAACTGTAATATTTTTAGCTAAGTATAATAATAATGAGCCAAGAAAACTTTTATAAGAGTAAAAATTATATTTTAATCATAAAGTACAATTTGTAATTTACAAAGAGCTAGTAATTGACAACTTTTTATTCTTTAAAAGAATTTCTAGTTGAAAGTTTTTATACTACTTTTACCGAGTTAAGGAAGTTTCCTACAATGTTCCAGGACTCGAAACACGCCTTTCCATCTGTCAGGCATTTTTACTGTAATAAATCAGACTATGAGAGCCATCTCAAGAGAAAAAAACAAATGATGATTACCTTGGATAATAATATTTTTCTGGCCAGCAATATTTTTCTTAGCTTGATATTTTTAGAAAAGTAAGATAATTTTTTTGACGTGAAATCCGTGAGGAAAATACCAAAAGAGATGTGGAACAAAATCTTTTATATTTCATAACGTGTAGAATCAGTGATATTTATTCTGCCTAAATGCAAACTCCCCCTTACACAACATAATATAATTACCTACTACTCAACTATTAAAAAGAGTAAATGATCACTGAGTGACCGGAGTATAAACTCACAGATTATACTCTAGATGAAGGAAACCCTCTATTTGTGATTGAATCAACGACGACAACCTTCGATCCTTCTGTTGCCAGTGAGGGGGAACAAAGGACAATTATAATGAGATCTAGGAAAGGAAAATAATTACCAAAAAATTCTAATAACAACCTAAACAGTCTGTAATGACAAGTTTTAGGATAGAAAATGATAACTTTTGGGACTCGTTTTGTAATTTTTTTTTTTAAGAATCTCACTATAATTGTCCCAAGAAAAAAAAACCCAAGGATATCCCCCCAGGCAATTCGTCTTAAATGATTTTGGTCCAATTTCTGCAGATAAGAGTTTGAAATACATCCTCTCGTAACCTTTTGTTTGGTTGGGGTTTTTAAGAGGGGAGGGAACGGTGCAAGAGGGCGTGGGGCTGTGGAGAAATTCTTGTACAAACTGTACTAATCTTATAGATATATTAAGCCATAATGAGAAGCTTATATATGTACCAATTTTGTTGTTTTTTCCCCCTGTTTTGGATGCATGAGGAAAACAAAACAGCATGAAAAGAACATAACAAAAGTGAAAAGCCTAAACTAATGAAGTGTAAGTAGAAATATGCAAGACTTCCACATACCTATTTGCTATATCTGTATGGGCCTCATTGATTTTACATCCGTCCTTCAGCATTCAGCAAGGAGATGGTTTTTGAAGAATTGCTTCTTGAATGCCTCTAAGATGAGATTTCGCCAACTTGTATACACAAAACCTATAAATGAACTCAAGGGAAGATCAATTTTTCAGCCAAGTAAAAATTTTGAAGCATACATGTTGTCTATCCCAAGTTATTTTATATTTCAATAAGCCTAATAGTAACAAATTTAATCGAAACTGGAGAGATTTTTGAAGAGTTTTGGAAATCTACTTGCTTTAATTTTGTAAAATGATTCGAAAATATGTACCTAGAGCTGATGATACTGATGCAAAAACAACTTTTTACAATGACCAAAAAAGGGCTTTCTATGACAATTTTTTAACTAGTATCGATGGATACATGCACCTTGATGTAAAAAAAAATCTAAAACATACCTTACACCAATTCTGAAATAGACGCTCAGGGGAATGCCAAAAGTTACATCCACTCCCAATGGCTACAGCCTTCTAAATCAATATTAGATTTATCTTTTGATTTTTGCCATCTTTTAACTTTTGATCTGCAGAAAACGTGCCACTCATAATTGCTTAATTTAAACAGTACTGAATTATAATATATATATATATTGTAAAATGATATTTCAAGTTGGTTCAGTTACATCAAAACAAGAACATTGAACATGCCTAATATATAGTTGACCTATGGCGATTGGGTCGTATATATATTATTTACATTTCCTTCTAAACCCTTTTCTGTGGTCCTTACCACATGCAAATGACTGCGTAAAATCTTCTTCAACTTATGAAATGAGAATGAAAAATTAAGGGAACGCATAAAATCTAGTTTGACCTTTGATGGAACGTTGAAACCATATACGTGTCATACAAGTAAAATGCAAAAAATAAGAAAATTTTTTAAGAAATGAAAATAAACCCGGCCAATAATATAAAACGAACAGCCCCTATGGAAAGGAAGTAATTAAATGGATATAATATTTATAAGAATTGAAAGATTATTTTAAATTAATGTATCAACCAAAAATTTAAATATCCATCAAGCATGCATTAATATAAAATATAAATTTTAATCTAAAACCAGAAGGGTTGATCTACGTACCTTGGAAGTATAGACTCATCTTCTTCAACAACGAACTGATCATGATGTCTGGAGCATTGAGTATAACCTCCATCTTTCTCAACTTCAGGTTGTATAACATCAGTGGCCTGTAATATTTTCATCATTGTCTTGGGGCCCAGTATTTGCAGACCCATTGCTCCATTAAGTGCTCTTTTAGCAAGTAATTCAGCAATGCCATTGCCGTCTCTGTGAAAGACCTGGACATCCACAAACCAATCCCACTCTAACATCCCTTTGATTTCCATGATGAGAGCAATATCCTTGTGCGTCTCAGGGACTTCAAATTTGATCAATCGAACAGCCTCAGCGGAGTCGCTTCTCAAGATAACATCCCCAATACCAGCGTCCCAAGCGCTTTTGAGACCCATCAAGCAACCCCATAGTTTTGCTGTGAGGGTATCTCCGCCACTTAATTTCAGAAGAAAAGCCTCCTTCATACAATTGTTGCCATCTTTAAGAACGCCTCCACAAGCTGCTTTGTCATCTGAATGAGAATAGGCGCCATCCACTTCTACAAAGTATCATCATGTCTCGGCCAGGGACTATAACCTCCACTGTTGATGTCTGGATCAATCTTCACGTAGTTATTGATGATACTACAACCTTCGTCCCCTGTTCTTCGCCATGCTTCAACATCTTCTTTACACACCGCTCGCCACCCACACTTGCTTATTTTCATCCTTGGTGACTTATTTTCCATTGCATTCTTAGAGAAAAATACCATTTGAAGTCCATTGACAACCAAAGAGGAATAAGGAATATATTTTATATAAAGCAGAGGACTATTAGCAAAATAACTATGCCAACCATGCGAGTTTGGAAATTCATCATTAGGAAATCTGCAACTCCAACAAATTCCATCCCACCCCCTCCAAATGTGAGATCGTGTTCTATGACTAAGCATATGGCTATGCCCCACCATTCACGTGAACCACAATAATCAGGGGATATATTTATTATGAACGACACATTATTTGGACACCACCAGAATTCTTTCTCGCAAAAGTAGTTTTGATTATAAAACCATGATGGTACTCTGCTGCCTGTAATTGTTAATGAGTGCCAACGTAGACGGAGGGAAAAAAACTGGGGCAAAAAAAAGCAAAAAAAAAAAAAACAGATTGTTTGTATCAGAAGTATGTTGATTAACACGTAAGAAATGGCAATATATACGTACAAGTAAAATAAACTATATATTTATTGTCAAAGAAATTAAGAAAAAAACAGGTGATTCTAAAAACTCACAATTTCTGAATCCCCTCTTATAATTGCTGACTTCATATTTAAATGGTTGTGAACCTATAAGAAACAATTTTGCGTGTTAAAGAAGTAAAATGATAGAGGTGAAAGAACAATTAAAGACAAATAAAATAAACCTGAGGTTGAAATGATTCAATGAAATCCCATAATTGATCTGCACATCCGTAATGTTTTAGTGATGAACAACCTTCAGCCCATATACATGATAGATTTGACGGAAGTTGCGGCAAAGACCGAAGCCTTGGGCAACTCCAGAGACCAATACCTTTAAGCTTCGAAAGACTGGAAATGAGGCCAGATGGTAAGTCAATGAAATCGTTTCCAGTTAGATCTAAAATTTCCAATGATGATAACATGCTGATGTCATCAGGAAGTGATCCATCATGGAGATTGCAAAAACGTAAGTTTAATGCTTTCAAGAACGACAAAGACGGCGGCAACAAAAACTTTTTGGAGCTTGAAGGCCTTTGAAGAAGGGATAAGCAACTCCATGATGATGAAGATTGTGTTTCGCTATTGTAGTCACTAAATGATAACCCTTGTATAGCAATCCCACTCAAATGAAGCTGTTCCAAAGCTTCATTTTCATTCAAACTCTCTGGCAGCCATGAAAGCTTTGAGCATTCAGAAATTTTGATAACTTTCAGAGCTTTCAACTTGCTAACACTACATGGAAGACAAACCAGCTTTTTGCAGTTTGTCAAATTTAATTCAACGAGACCAATCAAATTACCCAACGATTGAGGTAGTTTGGCTAGAGCAGTCTTCTCTAAATCAAGCTTCGATAGACATGCCATATCTTTTCCAAACTCAGGAAGTTTTCTAACTTTTGAACAACCTGATAGAATAAAAGTCTCCAAGCTATTCATCTCAAATTTTTCTGGAAGCGTTTTAACTTCTTTGCAATCTTTCAAGTCAACAATGACAAGTTTCTTGTGTTGCCCAAGAGAGTGGGGAATTTCAACCAAGTTAGAACACCCTTCAAGAATCAACTTTTCAAGATGAGGAATTCCATCAAAATTTGGGACTTTGACGAGGCATTTTGAATGAGATAGATCGAGGGACTTTAGGCTTGGGAGAGACTAACAATAGAAAAATTGAAAACAGTAAGCCCTCAAAACTAAACATTAATTATAATTATAATTTATTAAATTATGGAGAAAGAATTTAAATGAAAGGATCATAATTACCTGTGTTCCTCTCCAAAGTTTTTTTAATTTGCTGTGCTGCATTTTTAGTACTACAAGCTCATAGAGTTGAGGCTGATTGGGCAAATAAAATAATGGATACCTCACCCATTCTATGACTCTCAAGTCGCTAGAAAGGGACTTGAGCCCATGCGGAAGATTTAATTGACAATGTGAAACATGTGAGCGACTTGAAATCATAAGTAACCTAAGATTACTCATCTTTGAGAAGGATTCAGGATCCCAGAATGCATCACATGACTTTTCCAATGTTAGCGCTATTCCTCGAATTGCTTCTGTCCCCTATAAAACAACAAGCCAAGGTCAAAATGTTTGTGAAAGTTATGGAATATATTGATATTAAAAAGCACATAAACACAAGAACGTTGGAATAATGTCACCTTATTTCCTTTTAGTACTTGATTGGCATCCTCCAAAGACAATATCCTGGAACGCTTGCCAGCATCATAATGTGATTCTTGATAGACAATATATTTACACATATCTTGGAGAATTTGATGCACCCACAAATGCCCTTCATAACTAATCATTAGTGATTTCTTAATGAGAACATTTATCTCAGTTTCTGGGCGAAAATCCTTATCCAAAGTTTCTAAAATTTGTATGACATGATCTTTGTCCATCCCATTGAAAAAGCAAGCAACATCCAGGAATATGGTTTTCTGCTGATCATCCAGTCCATCAAAACTCACCTGAAGTATCTTCAAAATGTCCTTTGGAGGAATTTTCTTGAGCTTAGCTAGTTCATCCTTCCATTCCACTATAGGTCTTTTGCAAAGAGATGAACCTAACACTGTGAGCACTAAAGGAAGGCCTCTAGCATACTCAATGACGGTTCTAGCAAGTTTCAAATAATCTTCATTAGGATGCTCTTCTTTAAAAGCTTTTTCAAGGAAAAGTTCAAGGGACTCGTTATAACTCAATAATTTGAATTCATACACAGCAGATACACTGTGTGATGATAACAAATGCTTATCCCTAGTTGTTATTATTATTATGCTCCCTTCGCTGAACCATCCTTTCTTTGGAGCCAAATTTTCAAGTTGCCTAATATCACTCACATCGTCAAGGACAAGTAGAATTTTTCTGTCAGTCAACTTGCTTTTTATTAACTCCATTCCTTCATAAAAGTCAGCCACTTCCATACTCTTTTTATCTAGAGAAGAAAGAAGTTTTCTTGGCAATGAAATCAAACCTTCTTTTTCCCATGCCTCTCTAATATTATCAAGGAAGCAGTGAATCTCAAAGTTTTTGCGCTCTCGCTCTTGCTCATAAAAGGCTCTAGCAAGAGTTGTTTTGCCTACACCTCCTGTGCCCCATATTCCTATAAACCCAACTCCTTCTGATTCACTTGCAACGATTGACTTCAGTTTGTCTAATTTTGGTCCAATTCCAATTAACTTGCCATGACCAGATGCTGATTTATCAAGTAACTTTGACCCCATTTCTTCAACAATGCTTTCAATGAATTCGCTTTCATACCTGCATATGAAAATAAAATTATAAAATGATTTTTTTAACATGAAAATAGCGTGATGGTTTTTAGTCAATTGAATTTTAAAGCTCTTGCATAAACAATAAAAAATACTTAATGTGAGATGTAAAGAAAAACATGACCACAAATGTAGCAATCATAAGTTTTCCGTGAACCTTAGTTTGACTTAGTGGGGATAGGAGATAACTATTTGCAGATATACACGATTATGTTGTGTGTGTCCACACACTTTACTATAACTCCTAGATATTGAAGTTACTTAATTAATACATTATAGGTTGAGTTTCCTTTTTTTTTTTGGCAATACATTTTATTATTTGAATAGTTTTTCTTAATTTTATTTAAGCAACATTTCACAAGAGTTCAAATCTAATGCTACACGGTAACGTCTTCAACTATCAAAAAATAATAACAACTATTAATTATTTATTAATAAACAACGAAATTTCCAAATTTAGAGAAATTATAAATTATTAATTATTGAATTACATAATAATAATTATTATGTAATTTTACTAATATATATTCAAGAAAATGACCATTTCAGAATTATATCATTAATTGAATTCGATTGGAAAACCTAGATCATGTGCAACCTAGTGCTACAAGTCTACTTTACCAACAACTAAAAATACAAGTCTATAGCGGACAAAAATGAGTGAAATACTAAGGGGAAAAAAATCTAGCAGTCATTATAGTTTTATATGATTTTGAATCTGGTCTTTCTAGTTTTTTTAACCTTTTTATGGAATTTTTATACTCTTCCGATCCTATTTATAAAGTACTTCCAGCATGTTTCACACAGACAAAAAAAAATCTTAAACTTCGTTAAATCTCATTTAAAATTTAATAATTTTTCAAATTTATCCATATTTAATATATATTATACATGAAGGGTAAAATTAAATATCTATACAAAAAAGAGAGATGATAATTATTGAGAAAAGTGAAAATTACCGATCTTTTGAGTCCCAACCAGATAAAGTAGCAACTTTTTCTAAAGCATCTCTCCACTTTTGTACCTTTCTTTTGTTTTCGGTAAATCTTTCTTCATGCTTTCTGAATGCTTCTGCAAAACTTCCCTTTTGTTTCCTAACATCAGAAGGATCTACACCGTAAAATATCGGAAATACTTGAAAACTCGTCTTTTCCTTTAACTGCAGGATCTTTTGAAGCTCATCCAAACACCAAGTTGAAGAAGCATAATTTGGGGAGAGCACAACAATTGCAGAACGAGACTCTTCAATTGCTTGTACTAAACTTGGATTAATAGATTCTCCCCTTTCAAGTTCTTCTTCATCCCTGAAAGTTTTTAATCCTTTGCGTTTTAAAGCGGCATACAAATGATCAGAAAAATTTTTCCGTGTATCTTCCCCTCGAAAGCTCAAAAACACATGATACTTCCTTCTCTTAGTTGAACCAGAAGAACTTGAAGAGCACCCAACTCCATCAGCATCACGCGCCATTGCAACGCAAGGATTAGGAATCTGAACCCAAGTACAAAAGTAAAAACATAAAAATAGAAAGAATAATGCATATATAATAGGACCTTCAAGAAACAGGGCAGCAACCAGCAAGGGGGATACTGAAGACGGAAGAAATTGGACCAATTTTTGACGATTCGATCAGGCTAAATATATGAGAGGCGTGATTTGATCCAGCCTGCTATGAATCTGGCAAAACTTTGAGGCAGAACATAAATCTAGTTCGCAGATTCAAAAGTTCATGAAAATTTGAAAGATAGTCTAAAAGAATTGGCAAGGAAGAAAATAGATCCCAGGTTAATTGAATGGATAACTAACGAGCTAGGGGTTGACCTGCTCAGCTGTGCCCCCATTGTTCCTTAATTTTGGGTGCCCTTTCCAATTTCTTTCAGTATTTCAAAAATCGTATAAAATTGAAAAATGAATAAGTTTTGGCCTGTAAGATATCAAAATATCGTTCATTTTATACAAAATCTAATAACTAAAAAAAAACTAAAAAGAAACATTTAGAAAGGACCCCAAAATTAAGGCGTGGCTGGGAGTGTAGCCGGGAGAGCTGACGCACAGTGGTTAACTATGTTTATATTTCTTACGGCTCATGGTCTATTTATAGTTCAAAGCAAAAGTTTTGTATTCAAAGAAAGCATAATCACAAAATTAATGCTTGAAGGCTAAATCCATTTCACAGAAGGAAAAAAAAGAAAAAACCAAAATAATAGAAACTAATCTTAAGCTGACAGTGGTAGCCATGACAGAAAATAGATATATAACTTAATTAGAAAGGAAGAAAACAGGAACCTGATGGATGAAATAAGTGAAAGATTTCTTTGATCTGCGACCTGATCGGAAGAAGATGAAACCCAGTTATGCACAGATTTGCATTTTTGAGGATGAAGCTTTTGGAGTCAGCTCAAGTCTTCTGTTTAATTTAACAAGCTTTTACAAATGTTCTTTTCAAACCGCGTGGCTGTCTTCCACTTTGCAAGAATTTTTTATTATTGATCAGCTGACGAATGTTCTTTGAAATTGGGACATAGAAAAAAGGAAAAATTCTAATTAAATCCTACTGAACTACTTAAAATTAAATTGAGGCCTACACTTTTAACAAATTCTTAATTAGAACATAAGACCTAATTAGAATTGCTGAATATTGTTAAGTAATTATAATGCCCTCTTTAGCTAAAAATGAAAATTGATTATTTTATCCCTTTAAAGTGGTTCATCATTTCTTATTATTAATATTTAGACAAAAAAATTTAAATAATTTTTTAGTGTTTGAAATTTTGTAATATAACTAAAATCTTCAAAATATTTTCATAAAACATTTCAAATTATAATATATGTAATCTTTAAATAAATATTTTTTTTTCAGGTTGTAAATATTTATTTTAAATTTTTAAAATATTTTAATTATAATAAAAATTTAATATTAAATCGTAATTATTTACGTTTTCAGTTGGATTCAATATTGTTTAAATAAATAAAACTAACGTAAATTACAAGAACTGAAAATAAAAAATATTTATAATTTTACTTATATTTGTAATTTAACATGTTTTATTAAAATATTTTTAATAGTATAAGTTATATATACAAATTTCAAACATTGCAAAATTACTTATATGTTTTTTGGTCTAAAAAGAATATAAGAGATGAGGAATTACTTGGGAGAGGCATATTAATCAAGTTTTCTTTTTAATTGAAGAAGGGCATTTTGGTGATTTAACAACATTAAAAAATCCCTAATTAGGTCTCATGGCCTAATTAGAAATTTACTAAAAGTGTAGACCTAAATCTGAATTTAGATATTTTGGCTGGATTTGATTGGGATTCTCCCTAGAAAAAAACTCTTTGAAGCCCCGATTTGAGGGCTTTAACAAACTAAAGTGACTCTAGGATTAGAAAAAGTTTAATACTTTATTAGGATGATTGTGGTTTGTTATTCTTTGTACCCCTCCGATCCTTAATATAAGACACATTTAACTAATTTGATTAGATTAAAGAAGTTAAGTAAATTAGTTAATTATAAAAAAAGTAACACATTTTTTCTAAAGCACCATAATCATCTTTCTTAATACTCCATCTCCCTCTTCTACTTGATTATGGTTGAGAGAGTATTTATAGGAGTAATATAGAGAAAATTGATAAATATGAAAAATAGGTCTTATATTTAGAACCAAAACTAACTCAAGAATTGAGTCATATATTAAAGGTCGGAAGAGTATAATAGACCTTGTACTCTTCTGCTTGTAAGAGTCTGATTTAGCTACCACACGGCAATACAGAGTTGGTTTAGAGCAGTGCTCCACTATAATTTTTTTGGGTTTCAAGTTTGAGTTTCAGAGGAGATACTTGTGCTGTGATGAGTAGCCACAAACCCCGAATTAGATTAGTAGATTGTTCGAATAGCTGGTAATAGGATCAAAGAAAAACCGGATAATAGTATTTAAAAAAAAAAAAAAACAGAGAGAGAGAGCCTGATTTAGCCTGGAATTACGTATCAGATCAAAGTTATGGCAGCATTTCTAGTTGAAAGAATTTCAGACGACTTCTTTTCTTTCTTTTTTTAAAAGAATTTCCAGTTGATTTTTATGTTATTTTTACCAAGTTAAGTAAAGTTCCTTCAATTTGTCAGGCATTTTTACTGTAATAATAAATCAGACTACGAGAGACATCTCAGCCACAACTTCATCTTTCCCAATAAATTAAATACAAGGCCTTGTCTCATCCTTTGTGCTCGAGTTTCTCAAACCAAAGTCTCTATTAAGGCAGAAATTGCAAGATTTAGCAGTCCAAAGAAATAAAGAGATCATTCTTGTCTTGGATAATAATAATTTTCATTTTTTTGGGCCGGCTATAATTTTTTTTTAAATTTGATAATTATATTTTATTTGATGCACTAATTATTTTTAGAAAACAGAGATAACTTTTTTGACGTGTACTACAAGAGAAAAGTACCAAAAGAGACTCTGCAGTCCAAATCTATGTATTTCATATATGATCTAATTGGAAAGTGTGATGACTGTTCTTTCAAAAAAATTTTATATTAAATCTAACAATTTATTTGCAAAATTAATCATGATAGAAAAGAAGAAATCTTAAGTTTATAAAATCGCTATCATGGTTAAAAAAATAAACTTATATTATAAGTAATATCGATCGTTAACTTGGGCCTCGAACTTCTAAAGTCCAGAAATACCATTAAATCATTAACCCAAACCAAACTCATATTTTCAAATTTACGAACTAATAAAGTATTTTAATATAAGCTTATAAAGCCTATTAGTCAAAAGTCAACACTTTCAAATAGTGTCACATGCAGAGTTTAAGATGTCTCTGGCCTTCTAGTGGCCCTCTCATATCAAATAGTAATAATTAAAAGTATTAGTTTATAACATTAAAGTAGATGAGCCCTATGTAACAATATATAATAAATCAGCACATAAAACAAAAGCCAGGAGGCTATATAAGCTATAACAGCACATTATGCCTCCAGAGCCTTCCCTGATAGGCCACGATGTGAGAAAAACACCTCAGTAACCAACTTTTCAACTTATCATACATACTAACACGTGCTCGTGAGTTGTCAAGTGAGACAGTTATTAATTCTCGAGAAATATAGATATATCCATAGAAACATAACTTCAATCATCCAAACCTTATTATAGTGGCCAACACACAAGCCACATAAGTCTATCCCTCATTATGGGAGATTAATTAGACATATAGGTCTATCTTTCACTTTGGGAGATGAGTAAAAAGCCACAAAAGCTTACCCCTCACTATAGGGGACCAAGGAAGTCAACTAATGTGCACCAATGGCGGCCTTATCATGTGGTAGGATCGGACTTAATCCAAAATCTAAATAACAACCAATTATTCACAATATAATAAAAATATCTCAATCTTTTCTCAGTATAATCCATAAGATATAATCAGATATTTTTTCAAATTTCTCAATCACAAATCCAAAAAATCCCACAAGACGATTTTCATAGCCCAAAAATATAACATATCTCCTTGGCTTTTAAATAACACATTATTATTCCAAAAATGGTCAAATACTCACAAACAACATATTAGCACATATAATAAGTGGAAAGTGGTTACTTCTAGCCAAATCAATAAAAAGAATTACCACAAGGTCAATCTTTTGCTCAACCCATAATTAATCTACACAATTAATATAACCACAAAATTAATATAATCTAATTAATTAATTAATTAAGCTTATATATATTAGTTAGATTTTTAATTTAATTTAATTTTTATTCTAAATTTCCGCAACTCTCATAACCCAAAATTAAGTATTTTAAAAATAACTTAAAATTTTCTAATAAGCCAAATTATTTATTTACAACCTCTGAATTATTTATCTTAATAAAAAGGATTTTTCAAAATTTTCAAATATAAAATTATTATGTTCTAAATTCTAAAAATCTTATTTTAAGTTTAAATCTCAAAATCAAACTATCAAAAATTCCATATCACCTCAAATATTTATAAATAAATAATCTAATCAAAATTTTAATGGTATAACTATCATATATATATATTTCCATAAATAATAAACTTTTTAGTTAAAATAATTATTTTAAAACCTTCAGTCACCCAATGAATAAAACTAAACCGATTAAAATCTCAATAATATGTCAAACAACCTAAATAAATTATTTAACTTAAACTTAATTGGTAAAAATATAATATAAATCATATATAACAGATTTTTCAAATAGAAAAATTAATTGAAATACTAAAAACCAAAAAATGGACAAATTTAACTGATTAAAATTAACAACTCATTTATCCCTAAATTTCGATGATCATATTTTACCAAAACTCCCTATTTATATCATATATATAAGTCTCAAAATATTCTCTAAGCACTACAGTAATACTATCATTAGGAAGCCTAAAATATATAAAAAATATTCATAAAGAAAATTTGATAAAAAAAGTAATTTTATGTACCTAAATTATCT